TCCCAATTACATTGTCTTGATACCCTTATCAAAACTCAATTGGACAAAAATATAAGGGTTTATTTCTGGATTCTCAACGCTATTTCATTGATATATATGTGTAGCCCTAAGCCAGTATTACACAGTCTTGATTATTGTAGCTGTGTACTAAATTTTGAAAACAGGAAGTCTGAGTTCTCCAAATTTGTTCTTTTTCATGTTTTGGCTATTCTGGGTCCCTTGCCTTTCCTTATGAATTTTATAATCAGCACATTAATTTCTGTAAAAAAAAAAAAATACAGCTGGGTTTTTGATAAAGATCATATTGACTCTGTAGATCAATTTAAATTTTTACCATCTTAACAGCATAAAATCTTCTAACCTATGAATAGTTAATAATAGCAGTTAATTGAAATAAACATTCTTTTTGGCTTTATAATTATGTGTAGATATATATTCTCAGAATGACTAAGAAAAAATTGGGATATTTGCTATAAAGTTTTAACTATTTTTGCCTCTGCTCCCTATTCCAAGTGGAACTTTCCTCCCTTTTTGAACCCTTGCCATGTAAGAAAATACTACATTTTCTGGTTTGAATCAACATTCTGCAAGGTTAAAAGAACTTTTTTTCTAGGCTTAGTTAGATGGTAAATAAAGATTCTATTTATGTCAACAACATACTTAATGCTCCAAGTATATGGAAATGTCAATTAGAATTTGAAAGCGGTATTGGGCCAATTGCAATGTGATAATCTGCTCAAGGGTAATTCTGAACTGACTGTAGTTTTAAAGCAATCATGTCAATAACTACAGACTTAAAAAAATACACATTCCTAGACATATGTCTAAGATAAGAGTTGTACTATTTTAAAAGTAGCATCAATAGCTCTTTGCCTTGCAACAGCTATCGAATAGGGCAATAACTATATTATCTCAACTAATGGGCAGTGCTTGTCACTTGCCAAGATCACTTCTATATACTTTGATATTCTCTAGAGATGGGGCAGGCACACATATTCTTAGAGCACCCTACAAGGACAAAAAGCCATTTCCAAGTTTACTTCAACAGCACTGTAGCAGTGCAAGACTTACAGGCAAAGGCAGCTTATTTCTTAACAAAGTCCATAAAATCACTTCTTCCAAATATTACAAAATGATTGATAAAGAATAATTTAACAGCACTTAGGACTGCCCTAAATTAATTACATGGTAAAATAGTTACAAAACAACAAATACCTAAAAATAATTTTTTTCTCATACCTTAAATAACTTTGAGAAAAATCTGTAAATCTGTGATATTTAAATTTGAAAATAAAGGGGCAAACATATCCGATTATGAAGAATTAGAGGTACAAACAACTGGTGCTGAACGACCACTGTTTCTTGAACTTTAGAGTTGAGAAATATTAATTATGTGATTTCAAATGCTCAAACTTGCCTCCAGGAAACACAATGATTTGGGAAGCCCTGTACTTAACTTTACTGACAAAATAATGACAATTTCCATTTTTAATATTAACTTACAAGAGAGGAATATGATCAGCCGTATAGAATAAGGGCACAAAGCTATTTCAAAATTTATTTTGTCTCTTCCTTTTGCCCACATTACAATCCTCTGCTGTCTGATAAAGTTCAGCAGAAGGTCGTGTCTTGCCAACGAGACAGAGGCCTTTAAGAAGCTTGTCCTTTACCTCTTTTATCAAAACGGGAAACATATCATATATGGCTCTCGCAACCGACAAGTTTAATTACTACAATTTTTAAAAAGTGAACATTTTTAGCAACACTTTCAGGATCACGGGAGCATTTCTGACAGCCAGAATGAGTTGGATTTAAACATCCCTGCACTATTTTTAGCTTTAAAATCAACACTTACATAAATATTCCCAAACCAATTAGCAGCAGCTGGAA